AAATAAAAAATTCTTAGAACTAACATTTGTTAACATTTTTTATGTGTATTTTTATGTGTACTGTATTTTGTCACCAATAAAGTTTGCTTGACGAGATTTTCGCTAGCGAAACAGAAACGTCCTTTATTTATTTTAAGATGTATTATTTTTTAATGTAAATAAATAACTAAATTATACACATGTAGTGTGTTTTTCGTTTTACATAGCAAAATCCAAGATTTTGATTTACACCGTTTTGTGCCGAATCTATCTTCCGTGTAAATCAAAGGATAGAGTATATTTCCACTAGCAGGCACTGTTGTAAAGATTCCGAAGATCAGGTTAAAGGTAAACCTCTGATTTGAAACAGGGTTAAATAGAAAGGCTAGCTCCTTCCTTCGTACGACTCCTCGCACACTTAGTGGTTTCAGAATACCGTTTGTAATAGTGATACAATTTATTTACTGTTGAGCGGAGGAACTTGCGTTGATTAGCTTCAAATTCCCCAAAAATAAGATGAGAGCTGTGAAAAGCATTTTAGGGAATTTAAAAAAAATGCTAATATTTTTTATTTACCGACGACTGAGGAAGGTGTTAAGCGAAATTAGATAGCCTACGTGCCATTATGATTGGGGCCATCAAAATAGGAAAGTAATTAATATTATGTGACTAAGCTTTGCTTACAGCCCATTCTAGTAATAAATTATGTTTCGATTCGTACTTCCCGTTACATTCAATTCTTAATCATGATATTGACAGATTTCATTTTTTCAAAATATCAATCATTTCAAAATTATCCACCTTCAAGATTAAGAAGATTAAGCATTTCTTTCTTCTCAGTTTCTGCAAAAGTCTCAGTATTTCCTATCGAGATTTATTGCATTCACTCAAAAATTTCCGCTTACCACATGGTTACAACTTTGAAATACCATGTGTTTATTGAAAAAAACAACTTACCATTTCACTTTTGGTAGCATGATAAGTTTCTTATGCATTTTTTTGTAAGAGTCTTATTTTAGTTGTATTTTTTCCTCCACCTATTCACTACATTAATTTCGCCCATAATTTATAGTAATTTAGTTACTAAATTATTTAAATGAAGATTTGATGAATGCGCTCAACAGTTATTTTCCTTTTTTGTGTTTACAAATTGCATTCTGAATACGATGCCAATCTTCAGAATTCAATTTTAATACGCCAGAAGACGCGGCATGATCAAAAATACAATAGAAGGCTAGATGGGCAGTTTAAAAGCGAATATTGTCAAATTTTGAATGTCTTTAAGTATAAACAAATTTGTTGACTGAAATGTCAAACTATAATTCTAAATGCTTTTAAATACATTTAATATCTAAGTTATTGTTTCTATATATATTTGTTTTTCAAATTGTATGATATCGAAAGTGTATTTCTGTATTTACAAGAACATTAGTGAAGAAATTATTTTCATAAAATTCTCTGCCCGATTTCAAGAAATTTTTCGGTCTGCGTTCAATTAGGAGAATGATTTAGTTTTTGTGGTTTAGCCTAAGAGAATGAAGTGCGAGCCAATCAAAGTGTTTATTCATGGCAGTTTCTTTAAAATTAAAATTAATATGTAGCATTCTTTATGTTTTGCATCGTATTGGGTTCGGCTAAAAGTCTGTGATCTGTTTACCAGTTTTCTATACTTTACTATGCTCCAATTAATACTATTCGTCAAGCAAATCTCAAATGTTTGCTTTGTAGGCAACAATTATTATTGGTCATAATAACTACAACTACTTCTACTAGATAATAATTACTACTTTCACTTCACCTATAGTTTCGGTTTAGTTTCTAAGGTTGTCATGCCTGAAATCAGTAAGGAGTTAGTGAGGGCTACAAAGAATAATAAAGATGTTATATATGAAAAAAATTGATTCTTCCTTTTTAAATTGTTATTTAAAGAACTTTGCAAGCAACTACATTCTTGGTGACCTCAGAATTATTGATAAAGATGTCAGAAAGTGAAGAATCAGCGATTAAAGAAGAAATAGCACGGGTTAGTGTGAAAATGCCTCCCTTTTGGACTGATATGGTTTTATCAAGTAGAAGCAGGGTTTTCTATTTGTGGAATAACTGCCGAGGAAACTAAATTCAACTTCTTGGTTTCGCAATTGGAAGCAAAATTTGTTGAAAGTTTATGGGATATTATCAGTGACAATAGCAAAACCAAATATACTGCTGCTAAAGAACGTAAAGTGAAAATGAACGTTTACAAAAACTGCTAACAGGCATAGACTTGGGAGACAGGAAACCTAGTCAACTTTTACAAAAATGAGAAATCTTGCTACCGATGGCATTTCGGATTCTTAAAACTCTATTTCTGCAGAAAATGCCAGATTCTGTGCGCAATATTTTAATCGTTAGTGATGAAGATATCGAAAAACTGGCTCTAATGCCCGGTCGTATCATCGAAACGCAACCGAAACAAGAACTATACTCTGCCAGCAGTATTGCTTCTCCAGGAGCAGATGTTACTGCTGAATTACGACAACAAATTGTAGCTTTGGATAATAAACTCGAAAAAATAACTGTGACAAGGAATTCCCGTCCTCGCTCAAGAAATAGCAGTCGATCATCTAATGATCGAAGTAAGTCTCGGAGCCGTTATAACCCTAATGGCAAGTACTGTTATTTCACTTTCGTTTTCGAGAGAAAGTGTTTCCTGATAGATGCAAAGCCCCCTGTGCATGGGAAAACAACTCCCCGGAAAACGAAAATCAGCAGTAGAATTAGCGGCAGACTCAGCTGCTGTAAATAAAGAAATTGCCATAAATCCGCTTATTTGTCACGGACAAAAACAGGCTTACATTTCTGGTTGACAGTGTAGCAGAGGTAAGCCTTATTCCTCGCACTTCTAAACACAAACTTATTAGTGACTATAAATTATATGCTGCAAATAATACAGAAATTGATATACTTTTGGTACAGAAGTTTTAATTCTTGATCTTGGTTTAGCCGAGAATTTCAATTCCCATTTATTGTAGCAAAAATTAGTAAACCCATATTAGGTGCAGATTTTTTAAATAAGTTCAATTTATTGATTGATATAAAGCATAAAAGGCTAATTGATGGTGTGACGAACCTTGCACTTTATGGTGACATCGCTGCCATCTCTATTAATGAAACTGTAAATACAACGGGCAGCTTATGTAAATATTCTGATTTATTTGCTATGTATCCTAGTATAACAAAACCAAATTTTCTTATTTCTACTGTAAAACATAATGTGAAAAATCATATTATAACTGAAGGACAACTTATAAGTTGTAAAGCAAGATCATTAGACTCTAAACGGTTGGAAGTAGCTAAAAGAGAATTCAAATATATGCTATACAATAACATCATTAGTCCGTCCAGTTCAGAATGGGCAAGTCCCCTACACATAGTGACAAAGAAAGACGGTTCTTTCCGCTCATGTGGGGATTACAGAAGACTGAATGATTTAACTGTACCTGATCGTTATTCCATTCCTCGAATTCAAGATTTTCAACATATTTTAACTCATAAAACTATATTTTCTAAAATTTATATCTTTAAAGCGTATTACATTCCAAGAGCAGACGACGATAAAGAAAAAACTGCCATCATCACACCTTTTGGTCTTTACCAATTCAATGTCATGAGTTTTGGTCTCAAAAATGCCCCCGTAACCTTTCAGAGGTTCATTAATGAAGTTTTTTATGGCCTAGACTTCATGTTCCTATATTTGGATGATGTGCTGATTGCATCTTCTTGCGAGGAAGAACAGCGTTTACATCTTAAAACACTCCTCAAAAAATTAAAGCTATCATAGAATATCCATTGCAGAAGCTATACACCAACTTCCTTCTTTCTTAGGAATGATCAATTTCTATCATAATTACATAAAAAATGCCGCAGAAGCTCAAGCTTCTCTTCATGAACTTTTGAAAGGATCTACAAAAAAAATTTTAAAAAAAAGATCGACGTAAAATACTATGGACCAATGAAACCAGGAAAAGTTTTGAAAAATGTAAACAAGATATTGCTCAAGTAGCGTTGATGGCCTACCCTAATTCGGATTACCCTCTGGCACTTCTCACAGATGCATCCGATTTGGCTATTGGGTCAGTTATTCAACAAAAAGAACAAAATGGATGGAAGCCTATTGCATTTTTTTCAAAAAAGCTTAATGATGCCCAGAAAAATTATAGCGCTTACGATCGCGAGCTTTTGGGTATATATTTATCCGTTAAACATTTTAAACATTTACTTGAACGCTGCGATTTTACTATTTATACGGATCATAAGCCCTTAACGTTTGCTTTTAAGCAAAATAATAACAAAGCCTCTCCCAGACAACTAAAATATATCTCAGAATTCTCTACTAACCTACGCAGGGGCGTATCTAGAGGGGGGCAAGGAGGGGGATCTGTCCCCGGGCGCAGAATCCAAATCAAAACAATGTTGTTGCAGAGAGCCTATCTAGAATTGATGAAATCGATTCACCTGTTGTTGATTTTGACTTGATAGCAGATGCACAAATTAATGATGATGAACTGAAACAGTTGAAATTACATTCCAAATCATTGCATATTAAACAGCACCAATTACATTCAGAAAAACTCTTATATTGCGATACCTCTACTTCTAATATCAGACCATTAATACCTAAAACTTTTCAGATGAAAATATTTAGTGCAATTCATGGTTTAGCTCACCCTGGAATCCTAAGTACTGTAAAAAGAGATTACTAAAAGATTCATTTGGCCGTATATAAAAAAAAGATGTTAAACAGTGGGCCCAAACTTATATCGATTGTCAGAAAAATAAAGTAACTAAACATACAAAATCAGAATATTCTCAATATCAAGCACCAGACGAAAGATTTAGTGTCGTGCACATTGATTTAATTGGGCCTTATTCACCTTCTAATGGATACAGTTATTGTTTGACGTGTATTGATCGGTTTACCTCTTGGATGGAAGTGGTACCGTTATCAAATATCACAGCAGAAAATATAGCAAGAGCCTATTATGAAACATTGGATAACACGATTTGGTGTACCTTCTTGTGTTATTACTGACAGAGGAACTCCATTCATTTCAGAACTGTTTCGAAATTTGGCTTCGCTATGTAGAGTAAAAGTAACCCATACAACTTCTTACCATCCTCAGAGTAATGGGAAAATTGAGCGTCTACACTGTACTTTAAAAACAGCTATTAGATGTCATAATTCTCTTCATTGGACAGAAACATTACCAACAGTTCTGATAGGTTTGCGAGCTGCTCTACATGAGGAATGTAAGTATACAATAGCTGAAATGGTTTATGGCAAAACTATTAAATTACCTGGCGAATTCATTGAAGAATCAAACATGCCAATATCTAATGATAATTTTGTAAGCAATCTTCGAAATCAGATGGCCCTCTTAAAGCCCTATCAATCCAAATTCAAATGTAAACAAAAGATTTGTACACATGCTCGCATGTGTTCCTGCGGGTTGACAGAGTAAAAAAACCTTTGGAGCCCCTATATGAAGGACCTTTTTTGGTACTGCAAAGAACCCCGAAATATTTTCTTCGATCAATTAAAAATAAACAAGTTAGTATCTCTGTGGGTAGGTTAAAACCAGCTTATGTGTTACGACCTAATGAACTTTTGTCTCCAACTTCAAAAAGTGATCATATATCTGTGCCAAGAACGCAAACATCTGTGCCAAGTCAGCAAATAGAACAACCTAAAAAATCAACTCGCTGTGGAAGACAAGTAAAATTTCCAGTTCGTTTCAATGACGTTATTGACTCTTCTTGAACTTATAACTCTTTCATATTAATTTAAAACTTAATTATGATTTTCTTTGTGTACATAATTTCAATTTATATGTTTGTATCAGTGCTATTTGTATAGATATTTGTATCTTCTCTCCCACCATGTTTTCAGAATAACGTAACTTGTTACTGGTAGGGTTGTGATGTAGGCAACAATTATTATTGGTCATAATAACTACAACTACTTCTACTAGATAATAAGTCTACTTTCACTTCACCTATAGTTTCGATTTAGTTTCTAAGGTTGCCATAGCTGAAATCAGCAAGGAGTTAGTGAGGCCTACAAAGAATAATAAAGATTGAAAAAAAATTATTCTTGCTTTTGCTTATTGCCTTTTAAATTATTATTTAAAGAATTTTGCAAGCAACTACAGCTTACAGCCGAGAATTTCACATAGACAGTGCATATGAAATGTTCTTCAAAAGACTATGCTTTAAGTATTTATATGCATTTATACTGAGAAATTTTTTCTGTACATAATATCAATAAAAAAACTTTTTCAGGCTTTTGGGCACTTCCTGTCAAATGTATGAAAATCAAAACTTCACGTAATGTAATATGTAGAACACATCACTGTATGAATTCATCATTAAGAAGTCTAATTGTACTCAAGAAATAAATCATGTTTGTGTGTCGAAATTATGGCATGCAAACTGGGAAAGAAAGCGTATTTGTTGGAAATATATCAGATTATCTTTTAATAAACTGGAACTGAAAATCAAGGTATATGAATGAACTCCTGCATAGTGGGAAATAATATTTTTATAATCACTTGTATATATGCATAGTAAAGAAAAAGCTAATGTGAAGTATCCAAGAACTAATCTGAGTAAAATTCAATTTAATCTGCTCTTTGTATTTAACCTTTCCACATCTGCAAGATTAAGCATTTCTTTCTTCCCAAATATGTGTGACATCTGTCAGTGTTAAATTTGCAATGTGAGCTATGTTAGTTTAGGCCCACTACAATGTATAACTGGAATGCATGCACAGCTCATTGATAACCGTCAAAAGGTTAATGTAGAACACAAACATCATCATATGGTAAGTAAGAAGTCGCAGTATCAAAGCTGTTAGTGAAGAAACTACATTAACAATTGATTTAGAAAAAAGCTTGTTATGAACGTATATATATGTACTTGTCTGCAAATAAAAGGTATGACATGTATGTGGTATGGTATAAATAAATTTATATGTGCTACTTTTTCATACAAGGCAGAAATATTGTGCGGTGAGTCATTTTGGAAAAGGACTGATTTAATGAATTTCCACATACGAGAAAACAAACTCATGTATGTAGTCAGCAATTTGGAATAAGGAGAATTTATAAGCAAAACATATTTATCCACTCAAAATCTTCATCTTTGTGAATGTTAAGCATATTATGATGTTACAAAGAATGACGTGAAAGTCTTGGCTTCACATTTAAATTAGAAGATTGTATCTTGGATTTAAAAAAAAATCCTGTGTTTTTAGGTAAGTGATTTTAAAAACTGGACAAGGATATTTTCAATTTATAGAACAAGAGGGTATTTTATGCAACCTTAACAGTGTGTTTGTTTGATGTGGGTATTTTTGATTAAAACCAAGAATCTTGATGAGTAATGCTGTTAGCACAATTTAACCGCATCTACCTGTGCACATTTAACCCACTTCAGAATATGTGCTATTTAGTTTTCAGTTTATTATCGATGGAAATCCCTTGAACTGTCATTTCCATTTATTTCTCTATGTCAATATTTGTTTTTCATGTAGGAAAGGATGTTTCATGCATACTTTACATGTTTATTAATATTTTTAACATTTAACATAGGTATATTACGAAACATTTGAAACTAAAGCGGATTTTAAACATGAGTGTTGCAATTCACACAGAAAAAAAAGCTCATCTGTGTAATGTATGTAACAAATCATTTAGACTAAAGTGTACTTTAAATACACATAAGCTTGTTCACACAGGAGAAAAACCTTACGTGTGTGAGGTATGTAACAAATCATGTAGGAAAAAGAGTAATTTAAAGAAGCATATGTTTATTCACACAGGGGAAAAACATCATATGTGTAAGATATGTAATAAGTCATTTAGTCAAAAGGGCAATTTAAATATGCATATGCTTATTCACACGGGAGAAAAATCTCATGTGTGTCAGGTATGTAACAAGACATTTTTTCAAAAGGGGCAGTTAAATATACATATGGTTATTCACACAAAAGAGAAACCTTATATGTGTGATGTATGTAAGACATCATTTAGTCACAGGCCTACTTTAAATACACATATGCGTATCCACACGGGAGAAAAACCTCATGTGTGTGAGGTATGTAACAAGACATTTTTTCAAAATGGTCACTTAAAGAAGCATATGCTAAGTCATACAAAAGAGAAACCTTTTATGTGTGAAGTATGTAAGACGTCATTTAGTCTTAAAGGTACTTTAATTACACATATGCTTATTCACACAGGAGAAAAACCTCAAGTGTGTACAATATGTAACAAGTCATTTAGAACAAAGAGTAATTTAAATAAGCATATGCTTATTCACTCAGAGAAAGTTGGAGGAGAGAAATATTGTGACATATGTAAGGAGGCATGTAGAAACAAAGGTAATCTAAACAAGCATGTGCTTTCAAAGCAGTAACTATGATTTTTAGTGCCCGGGGACAACTGAAGATCTCGTGCCCCTCTTGTTTGCCAAGAATGGAAAGCTTTTCATTCATAACATCAGCTCATTGCCACTTGATGCTGTGGCCGGGGACAGACGTTCCCCCTTGCCTCCCCTCTAGCTATACTCCTTTGTTCTTTTTCACACAGTGGAATAGTCTTGTTTGTGTGAGCTGTCATTTACACACAAGATAAATTTAAATGAGCATTTTCTTATTCATTTAAGAGAGCAACCTCATGTTTGTCAAGTGTTTAACAAATCCTTTAGCCAAAAATAGTAATTTAAATTTACGTCTACTTATTCACAGAGGAAGAAACATCATGTGTATAATATATGTAACAAATCATTTTTAAAAAGGAACAATTTGAAGGAGCACATCTGTGTCTACACAGGAGAGAATTGTCATATTTATAATGTATGTACGATGCCATTTGCTTACAAGACAAATTTAAGCAAACGTATCCTTACATGCACATTAGATATATGTTGTGCATGAGGTATGTAAAAGTCATTTATGTACAAGACAAATTTAAATAAGCATTTCACATAAAAAAGCCTAATGTTTGTGATATATATATTTAGTGATTTAAAACAATAGGTGGTCTAAATATGCATATGCTTAGTTGTATATAAGAGAAGCCACATATGTGCAATATATTTAAGAAGTCCTTTACAAACAGTAGTTTAAATAAGAATATGCTTATTCACATAGGAGAGAAACTTGTACTTGTGAGATATGTATGAAGTCCTTAATTTAAAAGGATATTTTAAGTATGCGTATGCATCTTTCTATGAGACAGAAACCTTGTGTGTGGATTTGTAAAAGTTGGTTAATCTTCAGATTATGGTAACTCTGGCGATTTTTTGGTGACCAACCCTGCTAGTTTTTTTTTTCCCACGAAGTAAAGGCATTTTTTTTTTTTTTTTTTTTAACTCAACATTTTTTACCAACAATCTGCTAGCCGAATTACGCTTATGCTAGAACTTTTATGGAACAAAAGTGCTTAATCGTGACGAAGATTAGGTGCGAAATTGGGAGAAAGTGCAGAATCCTCCACTGCTTGCCGCGTTTTTAAGAATTGCACATACACGGTATCCATGTACATGTCGACCTATTTTCTCTTAAAAAAACATCCCAGAATTGCACAAAAATGGCATTGTGCACACTCTTGACTTTATCCTTGTACACTGCTAAAGTCCTAGCTAGTAACCTTTATCGCCTTACCAAAATGTCGTCAAACTACCTGTTACCATATTCCAAAGATTAGCCTAAAAGTCATACAAACTCTAATATTATTTTGGAACTACTCTTATATATGCCCTCGGTTGGTGACGTTTGGCGAGAAACTTCACACCACCATATTACTATCTAAATTTTTTGTCTACATTTCGAACTTTAAGCCTAAAATATCTGCAAAAATGTGGTTTTCGCACATGCGAAAACTACGTTTTTAACACACAATTTACGCCAAAAATCCAAAACAAAACAAAAAATTTAGGTAGCAAAAACGTAGTTTCTAACAAAAAATATTTGACAAGAATCTATGTACACAGCAATCTGTTTTAACGTAAAAAACATCAAAGAATTGCATAATCTATGCAGCTTAGGAATCTAGGAATTACGCACACCTTGCTAAAATAAACTAACATAACAACAATAAATTTTATACAATACCACGTACACCACGTTCTGTTTTAATTTAAAAAACATCAGCGAATTGCACAATCTAGGCATCGTGCACAAATCAACAAAATAAACTAAAATAAATTATAAACAATTCAAAAAATAATAATAACGACAGACATTCATAGCAGAAAATGAACATAGCATTTTATAAAATAAGAACAACAATAAAATAAATTTTGGTTGATCTTTACATTATGGTAACTTAACGATTTTTTAGCGAAAATTTGGCAACCAACTCTCCTACAGCAACCCTCTATTTTTTTTCCCCGCCGCCATTTTGTCTTCACGAAGTAAAGACATGTTTCTTTTATTTTTATCTACTGAACACTTCTTCCAACAATCTACTAGCCGAATTACACTTATGCTAGAAATTTTATCAAACAAAAACTGCTTAATCATGACAATATTCACTGCAAAATTGGGAAAAAGTGCACAATACCATACTCCTTACGCGTTTTTTTCAAAATAACACATACACGTAACCATGTACACGCCGACTTATTTTTACTTAAAAAAACATCCCCAGATTGCACAAAAATGGCATTGCGCACACTCTTCACTATATCCATGTACACTGCTTTTTCTCATAAATTAGAAAAATTTCACGAAAATACATGACAATTTTCTCAATCTTTAAACCCGGTAAAAAGAACATATATGAATTACCTGATCGCGAAAAAGTATTTACCATTTTCCAAATATGAACATTTCCACATATAAAATAAATAAAATATCCAAAAACTTTTACCTCTAAATCATCTATTATATTATAAACGTCACCAACGAATTCATACCGCAACCATTACAAATACTTAGTGTCAGATATTTAAATTATTTCCATGCACGTTTACTTCAACTAAACGTATACCAAATTCCTACAAATTCTACAAACATAAAATTCACAAATAACTATCATTTCATTAAAATAAAAATTAAATTCAAAAACACTACTTAAAATAAAATGAGCACATACATTAAATTAATAAAAATTAGCTTACAATCCTAATTACTTTAAATCATTGCTAATAACAATTTTCCCAATAATACCAAATTCCTTTCCACCTTACATTCAGAACAATGCATAAAAATAATATCCTCAAATAATTAAAAATACTAACTTACCTAATCTTCTTCAGAATCTTGATTACGTGGCGGATAGACTTTTCTAATTCATTCAATAAAATTATTGAAAGATTTTTTCTGCGAATTTTTCCTCCATACTTCCTCCGCTAAATAAAAAAAAACTTCTCTTTATCACGATGCCTAAATACCCATTTCGAATTCACTTTAGTTAGGGCCATGGGATCCAAAATTAACCAACACTGTTTCACACAACACAGAATAAAGCTAAAAAATTTCCAAATTTCCAGTTTTTTCCCGATTTCCCCCCTTTTCCGATTAAAGAACCATAATTCGTCCATTAATAACACATGACATATCCCATGATCTCTCATTTCCCTCACGCAAAATAATGCGTAATCGGAACTGAGTACTGCTCACATTATTACCAAAGTCCCAGGTAGTAACCTTTATCGCCTCCAAAATGTCGCCAAACTACCAGTTACCATATTGTAAAGATCAACCTAAATTTTTCTATATCACATTGCTTTCTGTGATTAAAATTTTTGAAAGTAACAATAAAAACTTCCTCCAAATTTGACTTGCTAAACGAAAACCACTATCCAAATCTTAAACTTCACTGACAGCCATAAGCCATTTCAAAACGCCCACCAAACCAACCAGCAAATAAAACCACTACAGCAAAATCAAGTTTCAACGTCAAAAGGGTTGCCATACAAACAACGCCATGCCAAAAACCTGCGTAGAATACATATTGCCACATTTGTCAACCTCAGGGTGTATATAAGAGTAGTACCATTATTTTAAATAAGCATGTGTGTTTGCACATTCAGCAGAGAAACTTCGTATGTTTTTTATATAATTAACAAGTCATGTAGACAAAAAGGTGATTTGTTACCATGGAAAAAAAAATCTCATGCCTCATGTCTTTCGGAATGATAGAGTAATGAAAATATTTGCATATGCCTGAATGTAAGGATTTGACCATGCAGCTGTGCTAGCTCATTGTGTGAGGTACGTAACATGGTATTTGGTCTTAATAAGAC